CCTTCGAGGAGGCGACAGCGCTTCCAGATCCGCTTTTCTCCTTACCCTTTTTCGCTTCTCCTTCTCTTCCCTCAACTCCGCTGTGTAGCAAGCCCGCCTAGCTCAGCTTGCTTATCTCAGTTTGACATCTTACTCGAGCCTTTTTCCTTTTCATTCATGTTTTGGATTCTTCCTCTCCTTCCCTGCTTCAATGACCTCGCGACTTTAACTCTCGTCTTTGACGCCTTAGTCCTTTTTATCTCCCTTTTTCCACACTTTTCCCCTCTTTCGAAAATTGGCCTTCTTACCTTGGTCCCTCTGACTTGACTTTCAGACCATTCACAATACGATATACTGCAAATTTAGCTATCTTATGTCCCAAATTGACTGAGTTACAACAGGCACAATGGCTGGTGCAGACGAGACGCTCGCAGCCGCCTCTGCCATCCTTCAAACCCTGGCCAGAGGGCCCGATGCTTCGATTTCCGAGCCGAGTTCTTCCCACAAAACTACCAATGGCTGTGATACAAAGTTCGCCAAATTACCAGGAGAGCCTAGCCAAGCAAAGGCGGCATTTGAATTTGAGTTGGAGGCTTTGATTCGACGTGTTCGCCATCTAGAGTTTCAAGTTGTCAGTCATCAACCATACCCCGACCTGTCCCCGAGTTACCTTTGTCTTCCACCAAGAATTCTGATTTTCTCTGGCTTTTCGGGCTCTCTCGCCTGTCCTCTCATGAAGGAGCTGCTTCTAACTCTTCTTGCGGCATGCAGCAGGAAACTTCACGACGTCGCCAGAGAACAAGGAGAAACCGCCGTGAAGCGGAAGACAATGAGGCCGATGAGGCACTCGATGACGACGACAGTGATGATGATGTAGACTCGAGAACTCGACTCGTTCGCGAGGAAGACATCAGTTATCTGCGGAATCATGTACAGAAACAGGCGGAGGAAATAAGCTTCCAAAAAGACATCATCGCTCAAGTTCGCGACGAGCTACTGCAGCAGGAGGAGCACACGCGACGGGCATTGACCAAGGTTGAGAATGAAGATGTGGTCCTGTTGGAACGCGAGCTACGCAAGCACCAGCAAGCCAACGAGGCTTTCCAGAAAGCCCTTCGGGAAATTGGTGGCATCATCACGCAGGTCGCAAATGGTGACTTGTCCATGAAGGTGCAGATTCACCCCCTCGAGATGGACCCTGAGATCGCCACTTTCAAGCGCACGATCAACACGATGATGGATCAGCTGCAGGTTTTTGGTAGTGAGGTGTCCAGGGTCGCTCGAGAGGTCGGGACGGAAGGTATCCTTGGTGGACAGGCTCAGATCACTGGGGTTCACGGAATTTGGAAAGAGCTCACAGAGAACGTCAACATCATGGCCAAGAATCTCACTGATCAGGTGCGTGAAATTGCGGCGGTGACGACCGCCGTGGCCCATGGCGATCTCAGTCAGAAGATCGAAAGTCGTGCTCAGGGTGAAATCCTGGAACTGCAACAGACCATCAACACCATGGTCGATCAACTGCGCACATTCGCAACGGAGGTCACTCGTGTCGCTCGTGATGTCGGTACGGAAGGCGTCCTGGGTGGGCAGGCCCAGATCGAAGGCGTCCAAGGCATGTGGAATGAGCTGACTGTCAACGTCAACGCCATGGCAAACAATTTGACTACACAAGTGCGAGACATTGCGACGGTCACCAAGGCTGTGGCCAAGGGTGATCTGACACAGAAGGTTCAAGCCAACTGCAAAGGAGAAATTGCTGAGCTCAAGAACATTATCAACTCCATGGTGGACCAGCTGCGGCAGTTCGCCCAAGAGGTCACCAAGATTGCCAAGGAAGTCGGTACGGATGGTGTTCTCGGTGGCCAGGCCACCGTAAATGATGTGGAAGGCACTTGGAAAGACTTGACCGAGAATGTCAACCGAATGGCAAACAACCTGACCACCCAAGTCAGGGAGATCGCCGATGTCACGACTGCCGTCGCGAAAGGTGATCTAACCAAGAAGGTCACGGCCAATGTTCAAGGTGAAATACTAGATCTTAAGAGCACCATCAATGGCATGGTCGACCGACTGAATACTTTTGCCTTCGAAGTGAGCAAAGTTGCCAGGGAAGTCGGCACAGACGGTACCCTCGGCGGCCAAGCCAAGGTCGACAATGTGGAAGGCAAATGGAAGGATCTCACAGACAACGTCAACACCATGGCCCAGAATTTGACGTCCCAGGTCCGAAGTATTTCAGATGTCACGCAGGCTATCGCGAAGGGTGACCTCAGCAAGAAGATCGAAGTCCATGCTCAAGGAGAGATCTTGACCCTCAAGGTTACGATCAATCACATGGTGGATCGTCTTGCGAAATTTGCAACTGAGCTCAAAAAAGTCGCTCGCGATGTCGGCGTGGACGGGAAAATGGGCGGTCAAGCCAACGTGGAGGGGATTGCGGGAACATGGAAGGAGATCACCGAGGATGTCAATACAATGGCTGAGAACCTAACTTCGCAGGTGCGTGCGTTTGGTGAGATCACCGATGCTGCAACCGACGGCGATTTCACTAAGCTCATCACTGTCAACGCTTCCGGGGAGATGGATGAACTCAAGCGCAAGATCAACAAGATGGTCTCCAATCTCCGAGACAGTATTCAGCGTAACACTGCTGCCAGGGAGGCAGCTGAACTGGCGAATCGTACAAAGTCCGAATTTCTGGCAAACATGAGTCATGAGATCCGGACTCCCATGAACGGCATCATTGGAATGACACAGCTCACTCTAGACACTGACGACCTGAAGCCTTACACGCGCGAGATGTTGAATGTAGTGCATAACTTGGCGAACAGCTTGCTGACAATCATCGATGACATACTTGACATTTCCAAGATTGAAGCAAATCGGATGGTCATTGAAAGCATTCCTTTCACAGTGAGGGGGACGGTGTTCAACGCTCTCAAGACGCTGGCCGTCAAGGCCAACGAAAAGTTCCTCAGTCTGACATATCAAGTTGACAATACTGTACCGGACTATGTCATTGGCGATCCTTTCCGTCTGCGTCAGATTATTTTGAACTTGGTCGGCAACGCCATCAAGTTCACTGAGCATGGCGAGGTCAAGCTTACGATTCGCAAATCAGACCGAGAGCAATGTGCCCCCAACGAATATGCCTTTGAGTTTTCGGTCTCCGACACCGGCATTGGTATTGAAGAGGATAAGCTGGATCTCATCTTTGACACCTTCCAGCAGGCAGATGGATCCACCACACGCAGATTCGGCGGTACAGGTCTCGGCCTCTCTATCTCCAAGCGTCTCGTCAATCTGATGGGCGGTGATGTCTGGGTTACATCCGAGTACGGTCATGGCAGCACGTTCCATTTTACCTGCGTCGTGAAGCTTGCCGATCAGTCCTTGAACGTCATCGCATCACAGCTCATGCCGTATAAGCATCATCGGGTTCTCTTCATTGACAAGGGCCAGAACGGTCTTCAGGCGGAGAACATCATTAAGATGCTGAAGCAGCTCGAGCTGGAGCCTATAGTAGTGAGGGACGAAGATCATGTTCCACCACCAGAGATTCAGGATCCGTCAGGCAAAGAGTCGGGTCACGCTTATGATGTTATAATCGTGGATTCGGTGGACACGGCTCGCTTATTACGGACCTATGACGACTTCAAATACGTCCCCATTGTCTTAGTCTGTCCCCTTGTTTGTGTGAGCTTGAAGTCAGCGCTGGATCTTGGTATCAGTTCCTACATGACCACACCGTGTCAACCAATAGACCTCGGGAATGGTATGCTCCCAGCTCTGGAAGGACGATCTACGCCGATCACCACCGATCACTCCCGCTCATTTGACATTCTGCTTGCGGAGGACAATGACGTGAACCAGAAATTAGCGGTCAAGATCTTAGAGAAGCACAACCATAACGTCTCGGTCGTGGGCAATGGATTGGAAGCGGTGGAAGCCGTCAAGCAGCGTCGCTACGATGTTATCTTGATGGATGTACAGATGCCTGTCATGGGCGGCTTCGAAGCCACTGGTAAGATCCGTGAATATGAGCGAGAGGCCGGCCTTTCTCGCACACCTATCATTGCACTCACTGCGCATGCCATGCTGGGCGATCGCGAGAAGTGTATACAGGCTCAGATGGACGAATACTTGTCAAAACCTCTGAAACAGAACCAAATGATGCAGACAATCCTCAAGTGTGCAACCCTGGGCGGTTCACTACTAGAGAAGAGCAAGGAGTCCCGACTTTCCAGCAGTGGCGAAATTCACCACCACTCTGAAGGCAAGCGTCCTGGTATGGAGACAAGGTCCATCACAGCTTCAGGGTCCATCAATCGTGGCTTCTCGAGCCCCGCGGCTGCAAAAGCTGATGAGCTCGCCATGGAACGGGTCAGTGATTATCGCTCTCGAAATGCCGTATGAGAAGACAATCGCTTATTGGACTTGTAGGCCCTGCTACGATCGAACAGCTCGTGAGACGTTTTGAAGAGACGCTTTCCCATTTCTTCTTTCTTGCTGTCAACAGCCTTGATGCGAACATATACCCATATCGTTTGCCCGCTTGAAGGATTTGTTCTTTGCTTTGGCAATTTGGTCTGCCTTCCCTTTCTTTTCCGAGAATATGGTCTCTTGGTACAATCGCTCTCTGTGATCGAGCCATCTGCCATCCTTCGCCTTCAAATGCTTCCTTCTGCTCATTGACCTATCCTATTCGGAATCCATCTGCTTTGCATAGGCTCCTCGCTGGCGTTGTGTCGACGCCTATGCAATGACCTTTACTTTCTCTCCCTTTCACATTGCCCATATCACAACCTGATTCTATTTCGGTCTTTATTTGTTGAAGCTTATGTAAGGTGTCCGGCGCATGGAATCCATTGGCGAGGTTTTTATTTCGCATTTACTTGCGGCTTAAGATGAGAACAATGTGGGCCACCTGATATGACGATGGAGATAAGAGAGTAGCATTCTCCGCGAGAATCCTGCTTTTCGCTGCATGTTTGCGACTATCCAAACGAGATTCTTGTTCTTCTCAATCCTCTCGAAACCTACCACCTATGTTCCATGCATATCTGCGTCGAAGCCTTGTTCCTTCTTCGTTCCTATTCTACTTGTATTGTATCTAATTTCTAAATTCGGGCAGGTGAGGTCCCTATGTTAAAGTCTACTGGCTTCGACTTGATCTGCGTCTCTGTCTTCTTCTTTCCGGTTCCCCTACTACCAGAATTGTTTTGGCACGTACGAATTGCGAACAGTTTGATAACACTGTCGTTACCGAGGGAGAAATGCAGAAATATCACATTGCGAGGACAGTCCCCTTCTTTTTGTTCGACACAGCCTGTATGCATTGTGATGGTTAAACTGGATAGCCGCTTGCTAGAGACCGCTTTTTCAGTATTATCTTTTTAGATCTGGCCATAAGATTTAATTGTTTCGAATAAATTAGCATAACCGAAAGCCTGTATAATCTGACTAGGACAAAGCAGACCGGATGGACGCGCACTAAGAAAGGAACAGACAGTCCCACTTATGACTTGGGACTCATTTTCCTCTCAAACTAAAGTATGGTGATGAGATCGTAATTTAAGATGGACATTTTCAAGTCCGACGGCGGAACACGATAGGTTTCGCCTTGAGCTTATCAGGCCGGGCGATGTCTGTCTTTTCTGCCACTGTCCGCTTCTTTGGATCAATAGCGGGAGTGGGCTGCGGTGTCCTTGCTCCGGTCACTGTGCTCGTGGTTACCGGACGTGTAGCCGTATTCCCCTGTGTTTGCGGAGGGGGAGGGCGGCTAGGAAGAACGGATAACGTTTGGATGACTTGGATGGTGGTAGTAGAGGTGGCAGTAGAGGTCGCAGTGGTACTTCCGCCAGGTATTACAACTGTTGGGACTCCTCCACCTGCTGCTGCTGCTCCACCTGTTGCTGGTGCTCCGCCTGCTGGTGCTCCGTCTGGTGATGAAGTTCCGCCAGGTGCTGCTCCTCCACCTGCTGCTGGTGCCCCGCCTGGTGATGATGCTCCGCCACCTGCTGCTCCTCCACCAGGTGTTGTTGTTCCACCTGGCGCTGCTGCTGGTACTCCGCCAGGTGCTGGTGCTCCGCCAGCTAATGATACTCCGCCTGCTGCTGCTTCACCAGGTAATGATGTTCCACCACCTGCTGCTCCTCCGCCAGGTGCTGCTGTTCCACCTGGTGTTGCTGCTGTTCCTGGTACTACTGTTCCAACTGATGATGCCGCTCCGCCCGGCCCGGTCAGCGTGGCAAAGCTTGTAGCAATAGTAGGAGTTGAGATCGATACACCTCCGCCTAGTGGTGTTGCTCTGGTTGGTGGTACTGCTCCGCCTGGTCCAGTAGCCGTGGCGAGGCTAGTAGCAATAGTAGGGGTTGAGACAGGCACACCTCCGCCTGGCGGTGCCGCTCCGCCCGGCCCGGTCAGCGTGGCAAAGCTTGTAGCAATAGTAGGAGTTGAGATCGATACACCTCCGCCTGGTGGTGCTGTTCCGCCTGGTCTGGTCGGTGTAGCAGGGCTTGTAGGGGTAGTAGGAGTTGAGATGGGCACACCTCCGCCTGGCGGTGCTGTTCCGCCTGGTCTGGTCGGTGTAGCAGGGCTTGTAGGGGTAGTAGGAGTTGAGACAGGCACACCTCCACCTGGTGGTGCTGTTCCGCCTGGTCTGGTCGGTGTGGCAGAGAGGGTAGCGCTAGTAGGAGTTGAGACGGACACGCCTCCCCCAACAGGACCAGTAACATTAGAGATGCCAGGGCCTGTAGGTACGGCAGGGGTCAAGGTCACACTCGGCAATCCAGTTGGTCCGCCGCCAGTAGTGCGTGTGACGTTTGCGAAACTGGTTCCTGTAGTCACAGCAGGCCTGGAAGTTTGAACAGCGCCTGATGTTGCGGCTCCACCCACGTTAGTAGGCAGAACAGTTGAAACAATGGCAGTTGAAACAATGGTTTCTGTAGTTGTAGCTACAACGTGGGTTGAAGTAGTGTTGGGGAATCCAATTGGGCCTCCTCCAGGACCGTGCGGGATGTTAGGAACCCCGGTAGCTGAAGTCACCGGCAGACTTGTTGCAGGTCCTGCGGCTGCGGCTCCACCTCCAGGACTCTGCGGTACACCGGGAGCCCCAGTAGCTGAAGTCACCGGCAGACTTGTTGCAGGTCCTGCGGCTGCGGCTCCGCCTCCGGGACTCTGCGGTACACCGGGAGCCCCAGTAGCCGAAGTCGCTGGCTGAGTTGAAGGTCCCGCAGTTGCACCAGCGGCTCCGCCAGGAGCCTGAGGGGCACTCGAAATGTGTGTTCCTGTCGCGGTTGGACCTTGTGGAGCGCCTGGCCCTGCGGCTGTCGGGGCTAGGGCGCCAGGACTCGTTGCAGTGAATGGAGGTGAAATGGCGGGAACACCTGGAGATGCGGTGGGGCCACCCGCTCCTTGAACAATCTGAGAACCATGGCAAACTGTTTCAGTAACGGTGACGGTGAAAGTAGCAGTACTCGTGCCAGGAGCAGGACAGGGTGCGCAGGTTGGTGCGGCAGGAGCGGGACATGGTGGACAGGCTTGCGTCACGACCATAGGCGCAAATGGAGACTCGAATGGAGGCGCGGAGACTGTGAGAGGGGTTGATGCACTGGCAGGCACACTACCCCCAGCAGGAGAGAATCCCGGTCCCTCAGAGGTAGGGACACCTCCACCGGTTGGGGGAGACAGCGGGGGGCAGTTGAAGCAATTCCTCCAGCCGGTGAGGTACCTGGGCGTGACTCAGTAGCAGCTCCTCCAGTTGGCGCTGTAGTTGGGGGTGATCGAGTAGCTCCTCCCGTTGGTGCTGTGGTTATGTGTGACCCAGTAGCTCCTCCAGTCGGCGGCGTTGTTGGGAGTGATTCAGTAGCAGCTCCTCCCGTTAGCGCTGTAGTTGGAGGTGGCCGAGTAGCACCTCCAGGTGGCGCTGTTGTTGGGAGTGATCGAGTAGCTCCTCCCGTTGGTGCTGTGGTTATGGGTGACTGCGTAGCACCTCCAGGTGGCGCTGTTGTTGGGAGTGATTCAGTAGCAGCTCCTTCAGTCGGTGCTGTGGTTACAGGTGACCGAGTAGCTCCTCCAGTCGGCGGCGCCGTTGGGGGTGATTCAGTAGCAGCTCCTTCAGTTGGTGCTGTGGTTAGCAGTGATTCAGTAGCAGTTCCTCCGGATGGTACAGTAACTGTATGAGTTGCAGGGGAACTCCAGATGGGACAGTAATTGTATGAGTTGCAGGAGGAATTCCGGATGCCATAATCGCAGCTAGGGATGAAGACAAAGCTGCACTAGCTAGACCTGCCGATCTTAAGGCCTCCGGGGGTGGTAGCTGGCCCAGGCCGCCGGGTTTGGGAGCTGCTACCGCACCATGGAGTAGCATCCATGCTGCTGCTGCGAGTTGCAGGGCCTGCCTCCCAGTGTGCATCTTGTTCACAGAGCAACCACAGTAGGAGATAAGGGGAGAGCAAGGAGAAAGAGACGGCTCAGCGTTATGAGCAGCTATTCGATCAGCGAGTGGTTTGAAGAGGTCCTGGAGGATCTAGGATAAGCATCAATTATGTACCCGACCTTGAGTTATGATGAAGTCTGTATGTCATCCAGCGAGCGTGCGGTATCGGGTCTCAGTGGAATGAGCACGCTGGTAAGCTTGCAGTTCTTGGATTCGGGACGTCCTATTGGAACTCGTCGGAGCATTGCAACCACGGTCACTCCAGCTGACCATCATCCTGACGCTCGTGCCTATATTCAACGATCCATATCGAATTGGACGGTAAATAAGGTGGATGCGCTTCCAGAATTGAACGTGGTCGTCTTAAGGTATTATGGGGACACAAATATCCGTGATCGTCAAGGTAACCCATCTAAAAGAGATGATGAAGTCTGTCTCAAACAGATCGATCATCCTTCGAACAACAACAGGTACACGGGCTTGACTTGACGTTCGGGCAGTTGGTATGTTTCCATGGTTCAGTCGCATTATTTCCAGGAACTGAACTGCACACTTCTGTCCGGAATAGCTTTCCGGCGTCACATCTGGATCATCTCATCATCATCTTGCACCAAGCTGCGAGTACGGCGGCCAGGTCGCGTAATTCAGAGAATAGCTATTCCTACGATGTCTTTTCCGCGCATACTGGTGTGTACTTTGGTTCGTAGGTCGGGTTCCAGTCGTCCTTCCGTAATTCCCATCAATTTCCCTCTGCAATTGCTGCTGCATCTATTGGCGATTTTGTCGGGTGTAAGCACGCCGGCAGACATCTTAATATTCAATTGAGACCGGATTCAGTAGACGACCCATGGTTGACGCCAGCCAACATGAATTAACTTCGCTGCAGTGACGCATGCGAGACCCAGGGCATAGCAGCAAGTTGTAAAGACAATTAGACCCCAATACTCTCCATTGCAACGGCTGAGAATCTCGCCTGCAATTGGAATCCCGGTGAGAGTGCTAATCCAAAGTTCAGTCAGCCATCAAGGTGCCAGATGATAGAATAAGAGGCACGCATGGAGTATGGACTCACCCGAAGCTTACGATGGTATACGCCGTGGCGTAGTATCTTCCGTAATTTTCAATCTTGCAAAGTTGTCCAACGCAGACTGGCGTAAGACTGATATTGCTGCCACTGGCGAATCCAAATATCACGCAGTAAGCAATCATTAAAGGAACGTTGCCGCCAGCAGGAAGCCAGAGACACGCGTTGCACACGAGGCAGAGGGCCACAGTTACAATTAGTGTGTTGAAGCGACCAAGAAAATCTGCGATGAATCCTGGGATCGCTCTTCCTAAGACCGAGCCGACGTTAAGGAAAGCTACCATTTGGTATGACAGTTTTGTAGAGACCCCGTGGGCTAGAGCATATGAAGAGATATAGCTGATCGGAACAAAAAGGCCCCATTCAATGAAGAAGATGCCTGCTGTTGTGAAAGCGAACTTGGCATCTCGAAAAATCCGAAAATCGGGGAGGACGTTCTCCTTGGAAGCCGGCTTCTTAGGCAGACGTGACTTCACCAGCAGGCAGGATCCGATTAACAAGATTAAACAAATCAAGGCAATAACACGGGTTGCCCATGCCCAGCCGATCTTGGGGAAGAGAGTCTCCAGGACCAGTGGGAAGACTATTCCCCCAACAGAGCCTCCAGTAGCAGCAAGACCAGTTGCAACGCCGCGTTTCTCGTTGAAGAAATGTCCGACTGCGGATATCGCCGGCGTAAAAATGAGAGAGGCTCCCGTTCCTCCGGCAACTCCGATCACGAGCATGAAATGCCAGTATTTAGTGCAGAACCCTAGGGCAATCATCATCACCATGACTAAGACAGAGCCGGCAAGAACAAGAAATCGAGGCCCTTTCGCATCGAAGACCGGGCCGATCTGAACTCCACAAAAGAAGGTCAGGAACGAGTAAACGCCAAATATCCAGCCAACGTTGCCAGGGCTGTATTCTTTCAGCTGATGATCTTGAAGATACGCCTGAAATGTGCCAATGGTGTTGACGAGACCAAGGGACGCAAAAAGTCCCATGAAACTTCCAAATACCACCAACCATGCCTCCAAACCGCCTTCTGGATATGTGTTTCCCTCGGCATCGGTTGTGACCCGGCTCACGGGAATCCGATATTCCGAGGTATCTGAAGAGATACCATTGATGCACTGTCCATAGCCTCCTTCTTCGAGCGCTCTGTTTGTCTCGTGAGTCGAAGGCAGGCCACCTTGTGAACTATGCTGCGTCGATGACTCAAGCTTTCCTGCCTCGCCCACTAAAGGATTTTCAGCTGCGTGGGGCACGGCCGTTGACTGTTTCTCTGAATATGAGAGTGACGATGTTTCCTGAGAGACTGGCTGACTGTCCTTAGATGTGTGGTGATCTGTCTCGTCAACATTGGCGATGCCAGAGGTTTTGGTGTTTGTCAACATGTCAGTGTAGGTCTCAGGCCGAAGTGGACTACAGTTAACCTTGTCCTCCTTCCACTTTCTCCTCCTCTAGGATTTCACAGGCGCACTACGTTCCTTCTCGTTTTCGAGAGATTTGTGGACGAGAGGTGTATTTCGGTGCGGGAGAGCATAGAAGGAGATGTGCCGTCTATCGAGTTGGGATTCAGCAGTGGATGCAGGGATGCCTGATGGAAATACTCCCGACAAAAATCGAGACTGCAAAAGTTGGGGTCTGATCTGCTTAGCGCTCTAAGACCTATGCTCTAGCTTGGACTAAATCGTCAAGTGGAGGTTTCCGAAAACTCGCTCACTGGCGGGAAGTCTCCTATTGGCGAAAATTTTGTGGCTCCAGTTGGCCTCGATCATTTGGCCATAGCGAAGACCTGCATAGGAGAAGATGCTAGACGCAATCAGGAAGGTCAACTGAGAGCTTAGGAGCTTTGGCATGGCCGCATGAGTGGGTTGCTCACTGGCGTAGATAGGTGAATCACCATCCACATGGGATTCCTGATTTTGCTGACAGCTCAGCACAGGTGCAGGACTGATCAGTAGGGCAAAGCGATCCAACGAAGTCATAGATAGAATATTGGACATAGAAATTGCCGGTAAAGGGAGTAGATGAGACTACTATGTTGCAGTGATCGCTGGAATTCTGGTACTTCTGTGTTGTATCATTACTATGGACAGGCTGACTCTGTCGGAGACTGCCGAAAGTGGGACCTTCCTTGTTTAACTCCGTAGGGCTGTCGCATACCATCAGCAGCATGACGTCTCTCGAATAGTATTGATTTCTGATAAAGAGAGGACTTTTGGGTGGGGAGGGGAGGAAGAATAAAATAAATAACAATATGAACTTACTGCAGGTGGGAAAAAAATTTGGACTCGCGGGGAATCGAACCCCGGACCACCCCCATGCTAAGGGGGTATTATACCACTAAACCACAAGCCCAATAGATAACACTCAAGGAGTAACTAAGCTTTACGAGTTTTAGGAACGATAATATATGACAATTGCCCAATATGCTTCAGTATCTCATCCACTTAAGGACTTCATGGCAACTTGGTTACGCATTTTGTACTATCCAACATTTGCAGTAACTCATCTTGCATTGGCCAGATCCCCAACCGATGAGCCAGACAAAAGAATACCTAAATTTGCAGTAGTCCCAACGCATGGGCCGTATGACAGCCACGACCAATGCGCGAAGTGACGCCAACTATGTGAAGATTGGCTTTTGCCAGCTCGTCCAACATCCCAGTAGAAGTGAAAGATGGAGATGACACAGGTCCGAACATTCAGTTAGGCCATACAAGGTGGCAGATGTATGCTTCTGGCGTTGAAGCCGACTAGGGAGTCTCCTTGAATCACGAATTAAAAATTCCAATTTTCATGTATCAGTTGGGCTTGTGGTTTAGTGGTATAATACCCCCTTAGCATGGGGGTGGTCCGGGGTTCGATTCCCCGCGAGTCCATTTTTTGCTCTGGTTCAAACGCCCGAAGTCCCTGTCATCCTGTCATTAGTCGGTGTAGGTCTTCTTTTATGATACAAGCTCGACCAGAACAGCGCCGAGAACGGCCCCTCTGGAGCCGTCACCTCTCTTCAAGATTCCAACAGGCTTGGCCGGGTGCACGTACATCCCGCTCATCCTAGGAGTCAGACAACTTGGGTTTAGATAGTAAATGCTCACAGAGGCCGAGTATACCGGGCTAGTTTCTTGGTAGGTTACAGGGTTTCCAAGGATTGGTATGTCTGTTCTGTGGTCCTTCTTAGTGTCTTTTAAGCGATATATGTAAACACATGTCACATTAGACAAGTTTGGCTCTATATCCAGGGATCATGGCTTTAAAGTGAGACCTGTTTGATATCAATGGATCTCATTTTAAATATGGTACTAGCAGTGCTGTTGATGTGATTTATTCAAGCAGGTACTAATCAGATCAATGACCATCTTCTGCAAGTGGTCAGATCATGCATTTGCCCTGGTCTTTATCACCCGGTAGTGATCACCAATCAACCACTGTAGCCTGGAGAGAATCTCAGCAGGACAACAATACTGCAACTGTCGACAGATAGAGTATCTCGCATATCCTTTCAGTCTCCCACATCGGCTGTACCATAGGCGCATTCACCCGTACCGTAAAGTACAACATTCGTCTGGGTCATAGTCACCAATTACTGGTGGATTATAATTACATGCTGCTAATTCATCTTCATCCATCTCCTCTGGCACCCAGCCCCATTCATCATAAAACAAGTCCCGTTGACACGTCCCACAGATGAAGCATTCAAGTCCGACCGCAGTCCCTCATCCACAATCAGACATGTCTGTACCATCCTGATTCCGCATATTTTGGATCTCATGATAAGTGACCTGTCCTTACTGGCAGTAGGTGCTGCTAGATGACGGGTCTATGATTTAGCATTGTTCAGAGCTGCAGTTCTTGCGGGCTTAAGTCTTGAGAATAGAGATGTGCTTCGCACTATGAAGTATCAGTCGTCTACATGGTTTGAGGGATCGGAGGCTTGCCTAATGGCTACTTGCTTTACGGATAGCTGACAACTGCTCAGCGAGGCAGGGCAGCTGGTCGGTGCAGAGGCTAGAAATGCTCTCTCGGTAGTGATGGGTCCGTTTATCCAGACACGCAACAACTTCTTAATTGCAGCTTTATACCCCGGTCTTACGACGGTTGATCGCCGAGAGGATCCTGGGGATTATGTTACCAGTGACTTTCCATATAATGTACACGGCCCGTGGTAATGAGAAGGGTCCCAGCAGACGGGGAATGGGATGCTGTATAAACAATGGAGCATCCGAGATCTTCTCACTTATAACCGGGAACACGGTGTCAACGGACGTAGACGCTGAGAATCACGCTGGATTTACCTCGAATTTGAATAAATATATATATCTCATAGCCACTGGGTTGTTCAGTCTGCCGACACCCGATCCATGATGTATATCGGGGTCAAGCCTCATAATTCAATCCTGATCATGTGATAATATGCATCGAAACACCACAAGATCCAATACTATTGAACACACGCAAGCCTTCTGTTCTGAATTAGCCAAGGGGTTGGACCAAAATAATCAAACTTCCTGGATTGGTTGCTTGTAACGTTGATCCCTTAGGGGTATGGGTTACCATTGACCTGTCACGGTCAGTGCGGGACGGACATTGGGTCATGGGAAGGTTCCTCCATCCTGGATGCAACTCAATTAGTGTGGTCTAGCGGGCAATAATAATGCGGCAGGCTTGGAGGCCACATCAGTACCCTCAATCACTCTGGTCTGGTCCTATACTCAGACAGGAGCAAAAAAACTGGACTCGCGGGGAATCGAACCCCGGACCACCCCCATGCTAAGGGGGTATTATACCACTAAACCACAAGCCCATTTTGCTGACACCGGGAAATTTTTTTGGTCTTGTGAATCTGCACCAACACAGATCTAGCCTGGAGTGTTTGGTTCTTACTCTTAAGCATGAAAGTGCCACAGCAGGGCATAGCCTTCTGTAACCTAATATTGATGCTGCTGTTCAGGGTACTGACTGGGGCCAATCTTCGAGGAAAGTTTACATATACACAGTGTAGGGGTTTTGATCCCCGTGCGTGGTGGGTGGTGGATGACATTGTATTTATATTTTACCGACGCGGGCTAGTTCATACTATAGCAGTCAAATACTCGACCAACTAGAACAATGACGGGCATTGCAGACGGATATATCCCAGACGAAATGATGAACAGAGAATTATATAAGCCAGATGTATGAAGCTACATTGTGACCGCGAAGGATATCTAGATGCCAGATCAAAAGATGAGACAGTATGGAAGTACCTGCGACACTGGGAATAAGGTCAGGCAGGCTAGTGCATCGAAGATATATGGATTGTCGTGAATAGGTAGCCCTGGACAATACCAGTATCAGGTTCTCTTCAATGCTGGCTGCAATGGCGCAGGAATGGTGAAGATTCCACTAAAGGAATGGTTCATTGACATTTTCAATGCCTTGGATATCTCTCAGGAGCTGGTTTGTCATATATAGTCAAAAGTGGACAGAATTACCAACAAGTCGGGCTTGTGGTTTAGTGGTATAATACCCCTTAGCATGGGGGTGGTCCGGGGTTCGATTCCCCGTGAGTCCAACTTTTTTTGTTTTGCTCCTTCGTATTGTTGGGCCCACATCGGATGTGGCGGGCAAGGTGTATCTATGTCCACGCAGTGAAAGCATCTAATGGTAGTTGATGACTCCCGGCCATCTCGTCCTAAACAGGCAGGTGCTTATCAGAACCCGAATCAAACTTAAAAGAAGCAATCACTCAGTGGTTGGTTATTATTGCCATTTCCAAAGTACCACGGTAGAATATCTAATCGTCAAGCTTCGTATTAGCAGACGGAATTACGCCACACAGGTCATTCAATCATTTGCAGTGCAATCTACATAGTAATTTGTGTCTTATCGGAAAATCCCTGCCTACAGGGTTACATCGGCCCACGAAATAAATGAACTCGGTGATGAAGACCGGAGAGGCGGTCAGATTACTGTCTGAGCGATGAAAGTCTTTCCTATCTACCGGCTGTTGGGGTTGCTCAACATGAAGAAGTTGTTTATTGGCAGACTGTCTGTATTGATATAGCCATTATAGCAGAGCAAGAAAATGTGCATGCGGAGGAGTCCGAATGCAAGGTATCGGGTACCTAGACAATCCTAGATGTCACGGGATCCTCCGCCCGAGAAAGCTTAGCCTCCCAAGTAAGCTCAACACTAGGTATTCTCTCCAAGTCTCCAAGAAATTGATGACGCTCTCTCTTGCTTATGCAGATCGTCCCCAAAACAGGATCCATCTCCGTCGGAGGGTTCAGCAACACGAGCTCATTATTCAAACTATTGTCGATAGACTAGATAGCTATCACCATCGCCGTCATTACTATTACCCTCACCCAATTGATAAGGGACGAAACAGGAAAAGCGATTCATGATGAGGAGGTTGCTCTCCAGTGGGCCCGCAGCTGGCTGGATCAAAAGCACCCCAGCGAATCCATCGGCTTATCTATTTAGGTGCATATCAGGACCTGATCCAGTGCTATCCCGGTACTAGTCCAGTGGCTGCTTTGGGATCCTATGATTATCAAATAGATAGGTGTTAGTCATGAATCATGCTTTCCAAGCGAGGTCCGTATCTTCCGAGATGCGTCTCCACAGGCTGAGCT